CTTCAGCTGAGATTCTTGGTGTAAATGCTCCACAAAGTCAAACTTGTGGAGTCCTCCAACCTGTAATTATCACGTGGTGGTGGGGAGTCCCTATTTTCCCAAGCAGGTGGATAATGGCTGTGCCTTTAATTACCAAGAGCTCCTCTTATCAGCTTTTTATCTTTCTTCTAGGGAGTAAATTTCTATTTCTAGAAACCTACTATTGCCTTTTTAAATGTAAGATTTGTTTCTTTGTGACTCTGGGGATTGAATCCAAGGTTTTCATACTACATCCCCTGCCCTTTTCATTTTTATATTTTGAGACAGGGTCTCACTTAATTGCCAAATTGCCCAAGCTGGGCTCAAGCTTGTGATCCTCCTGTTTCAGCCTCCAAGAGTGTACCACCCTACCCAGCTGAATGTAAGCCTTTGAGGGCAAGTACCATGCCTATATTCCTGGGCCTAAAAGAGGCCTACACACAATCACTGCTCAATAAATGGCTGTTCAATGCCAGGCATGGTGGTGCACACCTGTAATCCCAGCACCTGGAAGCCTGAGGCAAGAGGATCACTGTACATTTGAGGCCAGTCTGGGCTACATGATGAGTACAAGGCCAGGCTGAACTACATAGCGAAAAGCTGTCTCAAAAAAAAAGGTTGTTCAATTAATAGTATCCAGGTGTTCTACTGGGTGCTTTCTATATAGGCAGCAGACAGCTTTCAAGGTGGCCCCCAACAATGATTCCTTCATCCTGTTATTTTTACCTATGTAGTCATCACCTATACTGATTAATGTGACTAGAGAATTTAGCAATCATGATGGCAATCATTACTAAGTTTATGTTATAAAATACTGCAGTCTCTGTCTCTCTCTCTCTCTCTCTCTCTCTCTCCACAGTCCTGGCCACTATTTTGAATTCAAGCTAACGAATTGGTGTAGATGCTCAACTTTTACACCAGAAAAAGCCTCTAACTAGCACTACCCCACCAAGCTACTCTATGACTCTTGACTCAAAAAAACAGGGTAAGATAATAAATGTTCTAAACTGCTACCTTTGGGAGTCATTTGTTACACAGCACTAGGAAACCAATACAACATAATCCCACACAAGCCTCATCCAATCCCTGTGAGGAAGGTATTTACCAAAGAGTCAGAGGATCCCTGTAATTAAGATGCTTGTGAGAAATGGCTCAGCTAAACACAGAGAAACTGGATACAGACCCAGTGTGGCACCTGCTATCTCACAGAGAACAAAAATCATTGCATTTCTCTTGCTCAAATAAGCCTACCCTTAAGCCTGTTGCTCTGTTATCATTTGGGATTTCAACATCTGGTAATAATAAGAGTAGTGATTATTAAAAATATACCAAGGGAAGCTGTTTTCATAACCCATAAATGTTCAAGGCTTCACGGTCATAGTTTTCAAATAGAGAAATGACAACACACAGGAGGAACAGATAAGTTGAAAGGAGAATCTAAAGGTTAAAACCATGTGTGCGTGCTTTTAGTATTAAAAAAAAAAAAGTCCTCTTGGCAGACGTTGCTAGCAAGGTAGGTCTGTTTTCATTGTGGCAATATTTAGAAAGGCAGAATGTCTTGCAAAATAATTGCTCATTGAGAACACAGATGAGCTTGGAAAACATGAAGCAGTTCTAGGAAAACCTATAGAAACCTGGTTTCTCTGCAGCCCACACTGAAATGGGGGATGGACTCCTTAGAAGCAGGGCTCCGGGGCCCAATCTCTACTACCTTGCAAACATTCAGTAAAAAGTAGTGCGAACCCAGCATCAGTACAAACCCTGAGCCTCCCTCCTATGGAGACATTGTGGAGCAGCTGTGGGAAGCAGTGACTGTGGGCCATACAGGCAGAGAGGAGAGGATGGAGGAACCAGCAGGTTAAACCAGGCAGAGCAGCGGCTCGAGTTCCCGGAGGCTGTCAGCCCGGGTGTGTGAAGGTTGGACTGTGAGCCACGTGACAGCTCTTGGTAACTCCTCAGTGACATGACTGGGTTTTGTGACTATGTCACTTTTTCAAAGAGAAAATAAATGAGAGGACTTAACCTTCCTCATTTTCATGGGGTAAGGGTGTACTGTATATGGGTTTCATTGAGATTAAATTCACATACTCTGAATTTATCTGTTTGAAGTGCAAAATTCGAGGTTAGTTTTTTGCATGTTCTCACAATCGTGCAGCTATAGCCACTGTCAAAGTACATAACCATTAGCAGCCCTCCCCATTCTTCCTTCCCAATCCTAAGCAACACCGGTGTACTTTCTGTCTCTGGATCTATCTATTCTGGACATTTCAAATGAATGGCTCACATGGTGCAGTAAGTACGCTGATCTTCCACACCTGGTTTCTTTCACCTAAGGTGATGTTTTCAGGGCTCATCCATGCCATACTGTGTATCCGTATGTCAGCCCTTATTACTGAATATGTGGACATGCCATATTGTTTCTTAGCTGATGGGTTTGGGTTATTTCACTTTTTCAGCTGTTAGGAACAACACTGCTATGAACATTCACACACACATTCTCGCAGGACCATAGATAATTTCATTTCTTTTGGGCAAAGGCCTAGCAGTGGGATTTCTGGATCATAGAGTACATGTTTAATGTTTTTGTTTTTGTTTTGTCTTTTTGAGACAGGGTCTCGCTATACAATCCAGGCTGGCCTTGAGCTCAATTTGTAGCCTAGGCTGGCCTCGAACTTGCAGTGATCCTCCTGCCTCAGCCTCCCAAATGCTGGGATTACAGGCATGTGCCACCATGCCTGCCTTGTTTAATGTTTTGAGGGACAACCAGACTGTTTATCAAGGCATTATGAAAACTCTCAATGGCAGTGTATGAGGGCATCAATTTTTCTACATCCTCATCAGTACTTGGCTGGAGGTGATGCAAACACTCAAATCGATTGTGATGATGGTTGTACAGTACTGTAAATGACCAAAATCATTGGTTTGTATACATTAACTGGGTAAAAGGTATGGTGTGTGAGTTGTAGCTCACCAAAGCTATTGCTAAAAACAATCAATCAAACAAAAATAGTAAAAGCCAGAGAGAGAAGCAGGAAGAAGAGGTGGCTGAAGACCAGGCAGTCTGAGAGGTTCCATGGGCAAATGCTCTGCAGCTCCTCCATTCATCATTCATTGCCCATTCAGAAAGTGTGCACTGAGTACTCTTATATGCCAGGCATTATTCTAGGTGTCAGTCTACAACAGTGAGCAGAACAAAGGCCTTTCTCTGAAGGATAAAGCATAGTACGGAAATGGGAAGAAGAGGGAAGGGGCTAGATGTGGCAGTCAGGGAAAGACTGTCCTAGGAGGTAGCATCTAAGCCAAGACTGAGCCGAAAGTGGAAGCAAACCATGTACGAGACCAGAAGGAAGAGCAGTCCAAACAGGAAGTGTAGAAAGTGCAAGGGCACCAGACAGTAGAAGACCTAAGCATTTGAGGACCAGTGAGAGGAGATAAGTTGGAGGTCCAGGCCAAGTTGGCAGTTGAAGCCATGGAAAGAGCTTTGGATTTTACCCCCAGCCCAATGAGACTGTCTTAAACAGAGATGGTGGAAGTGATTTATGCTTTAAAAGGATTAACCTATCGCCTGTGGGTGGAAGCAGGAAGTTAGAACTAGCAGGATTTGCCAATAGATCTGGGTCAGATTTTAAAATGAAATGTTTCCATTTATGCTTCTGTCCACATTCAGGATGTAAATTGTAAAAGTAGAGGCTTCAAGCTAATGACCTGATGTGTGTGTTTCTCTGACTATGTGTTTTAGTCAGCTTTATTGAGGTGAACTTACATATAGTAAAGTTTACCAGTTGTAAATGTGCAATTTGGTAAACGAATACAGTGGTTACATGTACCACCTTCATGATGCAGAACACTTATCTCCCTAGAAAGTTCCCTCCTATCCATTTGCCATCAACCCCTTCCTTCCTTCTACCTACAGTTTGTCATATAAATGGAGTTGTATGTCTTTGATGCCTGGCTTCCAGGACAGTGTTTCTGAGGTCCATCTACATTGTTGCATGTATCAGTAACATGTGCTAATGGAATACAATAGACTGTAGTTTGTTAATTCATTTACCATGTAAATGGATGTTTGGATTATTTCAAAGTTTGGCTACGATAAAGTGAGCTTTTATGATCATCTGAGTACAATTAAGCCTAGGTCTACAGCTAACCCATCAAGCTGGTATGTGGTAGGGTGAATCAGAATATTCAGCTCCTATTTTTTGACAAAACCTCAGAGAGCTTGGGGCTGAGGATACAACTCAGTAGCACAGAGCCTGCCTGGCAAGCACAAGGTGCTGAGTTCAATTCCTAGTATAAAAAAAAATATCAGAGAGCTGACACTAGTCCAGGAGGATGAATGAAGTTCACCATTGATTCCATAACACAATAACACACAGTAGATTAAAAATATTTTCAACAGGTACCTTCTGATGGATAATATGATGAATGGAATGAAAGGTTTTACACACCTTATATTTTTATAAGCTTTCAAATTTTCCTGATGACAACTTTTCCTGTTCTATACATATTATTCCAACATCAATTGTACTACATCTTAGAAGATTTCACTTCAGATCATACTTAGTGTTGTCTCAGTCTTTAGACATTCCATTGTTCTGTTTGGACTATTCCCAAGGCCAGTTCTACAGTCACTTCAAATATATGGCATTAAGATCCTTGAATAAGCTGGGGATTTAGCTCAGTGACACAGCGCCTGCCTGGCAAGTACAAGAGCATGAGTTCGATTCCTGGTACTGGAAAAAAACCAAAAAACCCCCCCAAAAGATCCTTGAATAAATAATACTAACTGAACAGCATTGGAAAATCTGTGAATTCATGAAATGCTAAGGAAAACCACTTGAAATAATTTCCCTTGGCTTCTAATTTTTACTAATGTTTCTCCCCTTGTTCTCCACACTTCTCACCTACATGGTGCTGAACAAGGTAATTGTCTCAGGACATATCTAATCAGCTGCTACAATCAAATGCAATTTAACTCGCCATTAGTTAATGGTTCTCTTTATTTGACTAACAAGCCACTTGGAAGCTACATCTATTGGAGATTCATTTTCATTCTTTACATCTGTGAAGAAGTCCGGATGTAATAAGATATTCTGTTTTAAATGTCTCACATTAGCTAATACATTTCATTTAAAATTTCTAATTGCTTGATATGGTTCTATGTTTTCAGAATATTGTGGTGACTGCTTATCTGTTAATGTAGACATATATCATGCTTCTTTCAGCATGCTTACGCAATGCTTTGCTATCCAATTCCATACAAGAAGAGTTCCTGTTCTATTATTGTTCACCCTGCATGTTGGTGTTGCTTCACCCTCTGCCCAATTCTGCTCCTGCTGGTTCTCTCACACAGGCATAGATACTAAGTGCACACCCTAATAATGTCTGTGTACTCCAAATAGTCTCAGTGCCTGCTTCCAAGAGAAGGAGGAGTGTAGGAGTGGCCTAAGAAAGCAGGTGATGTGACGGAACTTGGAAGTAGTGTTATGCTTTGCCACACTAGCACTGAGGCCCTCATCACTGCTCCGAGCTACAACACAGGTATCCCTTAGCACACGGTGATAGATGGTCCAGCTGTTAAAAGTCTCACTTGCAGTGGATTGAGATGGTTTGCTTCTGGAAGGGAATGTATTTGACAATCAAGGAACATGGGTGAAATAATAACTGCAAAAACAAGGGCATGGGGTGACAACTGTTAAAGTCTCCTAGGATGCTTTAGGAACACTATAAAACACTAGGAATGATTGACAGGTAACTCAGAACCATGTATAAAAGTTAGAAAACCTCCCTGACAATATGCAATGGGGCAAACTTCAAGGATTTTTCCTGTAAGTATCATTTTCCTTTTAAATTCACCAATATTTTCCCTGTAGAAACCAGATGGAGCCTGGAGGAGGGCAGCAGACAGTAGAAGACACAAACTCACACAGACAGCCCTATGGCAGCCAGCTCTCCATGCTGGGATCTTTACTAGAACACAGCCTCAAGTACCTTTTATGTAGACAGCTCCTTGGTGAATGAGTTCTTTTCTATCCCTGGGAGAAAAGTACGTTTGAAACAGCATGCATCCACACAGAACAAGCAACAGTATATATTTATAGTTTTGCCCTGGGGCTATGGTAACTGTCAGCATCTGTCATAACACAGCTTGCAGAGATGTGGGCCATCTGGACACACTGAAGAATGTGGCATTGATCTGTTACATCAGTGACATCACACTGATTCAGCAGATGGACACAGAAAGGCTGGTACCTTAGAGGCCTTCACCTGACACATGTGCTTTAGAGGGTGGGAGATGCACAGAAGAACCTGCCACATGAGAAAGATGTTTTCAGGTCCAGAGTTAGGGGTGTGCCAGGACATTATATCCAGAGAAAAGGACAAATGATTGCATCTTGCACCGCCCACCATGAAGAAGGAATCATAAAACCTGAGAAGCCTCTTTGGGTTCTGGACACAACATATCCCACACCTAAAAATACTGGCTCAGCCTGTATACTAGGTGACACAAAGGGCTGTCAGCTGTAAGTGGAGCTCAGAGCAAAAAAGGGTTGCAACAGTCCCACGCTGTAGAATGGCCAATCCTGACATCTGGCTATTTGTACTTTCTCAGTGCCACCAGTATTAGATGCTACATAAAACTTACATCAAACTCCACTGGGAGAATCCCAACACAACCCTCTCCACCATGAAAGCAGGGCCATACAATATGAACCAGAGCTTTATGGACCTTTCCAAAAACACTCTTGATGTCCTACTGGGCCAGATCATAGGACAAGTGACTACACATCAAGTATTACCCATCCAAAAGTAGGTTTTGTCAAACCCAACAAATCACAACATCAGACAGGCAGCAACAGTGCATCCTAGGGTGAAAAGATACATCTGGGACTGAGCACAGTTACAGTCTAAGGGCATAGCACGGTGCATAGTCTGGCAGCCTGGACCCTGTATCCACTGCTATGCCAGCCCCCCTCCCCTAGATCACAATGATGGCTGCAGGCAGGATCCCTTACAAACTGCAGGCCAGGGGAAGGAAAATCTCATATGCGGTTTACAGAGGTTCTGTGAATTCAAGCTGAGAATGGACAGCAGTTGCACTGTAGCCTCACCTGACAGTAGCTTTGATGACAGTGGTGAATGGAAATCTTGTGGGCAGAGCTTTAGGAGGTGTGCTTGGCCATCTGCTTTGTGTGGGCAGAGAAGTTTACAAATTAGGTAATGATGATGGGTGTAGTGATGCGTGGCCTACTTGGCTCACAAGTGGCCTGGAAGAAAAAAGACTGGGGACAGGAGATCCGGGACAGAGGCATGCAATTAGATATATGGATGGAGGCAAAGTATGAAGATTTTTGTATATCATATGTTAACACATACCATGGAAGCAGCAATAATTAAGAAGACAAAAATGTCCTCACCATTCCACCTCAGCTGGACTCTGTCATCAGCCAGAGTACATCAAGTGACCGTGGCGGCAGAGACAGAGGCAGAAAAGCCTAGCGGCATGGGCTCCCACTACAAGGCTGATCTGGCTTCTGTTGTGCTTAATGAGCCCCTGTCTTGGGGTGGCAAGTTGACCACAATGAACCCCTCCACCCTGCCAGAGCTACAATTCATGTAGCTAGCTATGACTAACTCTGACAGGGCTAACTACATTCTGGGTACTGTTTACCTTTCCTTCCTGCTAGACTGCAGTCAGCGCCACTGTTCAACGTTTATCCAGTATCTGATTTACCAGTACTGGATCTCAAGCAACACTGCATCCGATCATGGTCCCAATTTACTTTCTGCAATGGAGGTACAGAAATGAGTCCATGATCACAGGACTGCCTGAGTGAGTCATGCACTGTGTCACCCAGAGCCAGCTGCGCTAGTAGGCTGGAATGGTCTGCCGAGGGCCCAATGGAGCCTGTAGCAAGGACGCAGCACTTTAAGATGGGGTTCACCTTCTGGGATGCCACGTATATCTTCAATGAAAAACCTTTACATGGTGCTGTGACTCGGCCCTGCAGGATTAAAGGTTGTTGTCTCTAAAGAGGTGAATCTTCCACCAGAGGACTCAGCAAGAATCCTATTGAGATGTCGGCCACAGCTGCCACCTGGACACTTTGGGTGCTTTATAACAGAGGCCCAAAGACAAGAAGGAGTCACCATCTTGGCCCGGAGAACTCTTCTGGGTGTCTTTTAGCACTTGTTGCTCCGTTGGGACAGCAGACAGGCAAGCAAAGTGCAGTAACCCTGGCTTGGTAAGGGCCTGGTGTTAAGGCCCAGAATTTTCAGGTACAAGATGTCAAGTAAGCCCTAACTGCAGTGGAGGCGTGGGCAGACGGAGGGGAATGTAGAATGGATGACAAGGAGACGATGTGCACCAGTGTTGACTCCAAGAGAACCATGGCACTGACTTAGTCTGTCCCATCACCTTCCTCTTCTGTTTCTACCAGAATCCTGGAGCGGCTACTCCTGAAATTGACCTGTTGGGAGGAAAAGGGGTTTTCCCAAGATTAGAGCCAGCCTTCAAGAGCAGACTGTAGCAACCCCTCCTTCCTTCATCCTCCTGCTCTCTGCCTTTCTTTCCTCTTTGGACAAATACGTCCCCAACTCCCCACTGAGCAGCCACAAATATGAGCCAAATAAGGAAACTACTGTCACTTTTTCTGCACCGCGCTGCAGGTGGGATGCGCCGCGGTCCTCAGGGTCCGTGGGCTCGGTCGCAGGGGCCTGGGAGTTGCCAGCTGTGCTAGTGGGGCAGGCGTGGGGAAGCCTCTCCTCTGTTGTGTTTTGCTTTGTCATGGGTGGGGAGGCAGGCAAGGACGTTACTACATATCTCAAATTTTTACCTGGTTTCTAATAAAATACTCTTTCTGGTTTTTACTTAAGTACCCTTCACTCTCCTCCCTCCTCCATGGGTCCCAGTTTGAGTTCAGGGGGCTGGGGCTGAAGACATCTCGGAGATCTTGGAGGGTGGACAGAACGGGGCGGGGCGGGGCGGCGTTCAGAACCCAGACTTTCCCCATCCGTTGACTGAATTCTCCCCTGGAGAAGTGTAGCACCGTACCGGCCAGCGCTTCTACTGTAACTAAAAAGAATGGAGCGCAGGGGCGGCCTTTGTGGGGACAGAGGCTCAGCCGAGCTGGCCAGGACGCCAGATCTCGCGCCCCTCGGACACCCGGAGCCGACCAGCTGGATTACCAGCAGCTAGGCGCCGCTAGGGTGCTCCGCACGCCCCAGAAACGTCTCACCTTTGCCCCACTTCCAAGCCCCGCCCTTAGCTTTCTGCTGTTCTTATTGGCTGCGCGGCCGCCCAATGGACAGGTGGGAACGGCTAGCTCGCGCCTCAGCCCCTCACCCGCTGTCGTTCGCGCGTCTCGCGAGAGCCGACTACCCGTGTGGCAGCGCCGCCGAGGTCGGAAGGTTGAGGTGGAGGGACCACTGTTCTGGTGGCAGCAGAGACCATGTTCCGGGCAGCAGTTCCGGGGCGGCTCCGGCGAGCGGTGAGTCCGACGGAGGCCGAATGGGGTCGTCCCGACCTCATTTGCAGTCCGCATGAGGGTCTCGCGAAGGTCAGCGGCCCAGCGTGGGACGCGGGCCCAAGACTTTGTGGCCTGCCCGGGACTTCTTCCGGGCGCCTGCGCGGGTCAGGGGCCGCGGCTCCTCCTCCTCTGCTGACCCCGCCCACCCAGGGCTCCTTCTGGGGACCTGCGGGCACCTGGGTCCCCGCGCTGGGTGACAAGGGGTCGGGAGGCCCCTGCAGGGTCAGAGCCCGGTCCGCGGGATCCTGGAGAGACCATCCCCGGCCGGAAGCGCACGTCCAGGGTGAGGGTGGCGCGTGACCCACACTGGCTGTGCCAGCCAACCTGCTTCTGGAGCATCAGGTTGTTGGTTAAATAGCCAGGGCACTGTTGACAGTGGCAAGTGTCTTGATGCTTTGGGGAGTGCCAGATGCAAGTGCGGTACAATTCTCTCCCCCTTGGGAGGACTCGCGAGACGCAGCTGCTGGGGGTAAACAGCAAATTCTGGTAAACTGACCAGTTGCAGTTCAACTATTTACATTGAAGCTTCTCTACATTTTTCTACTTTACATTTCGGTAAGGTGAGAAACAGGACTGCCAACCTTAGCTTAACATTTTTTGTTATTTTGCAATTCGTCCCTTTTTCGGGGGGAGTGCAGTTTGCAGTTCACTGGTCTTTGTGGATGTTCGTAGACATCCTTTTTTTTCCCTTTCTCTTGTGCTTATTCCTTGTTCCGTAAAAAATCCTGACTGTGCGTCTCTTAAAAGTTCAAGGCCACATTCTTCGGGTCAGAGTCCTGTCTTTCCTCCACGAGATTTTGTTTTTTCCTCTGAGAAAGTAGACATAAGCAAGTTAGAGTTCTGTTGCTTTGGGAAAATTCCAGGAACCAGAGCCAGACTTGCAGGAGAATACTTGCCTCTGCAGAAGTTGCAAGGCACTTACCTTCACGGGAAGTTTACATGTCTGGTGTAATTGTGGTAGGGGAAATTTAAAACTCAGTATTTTCGTAAAATTAACACAAAAGGGAATGGTTACTTTAAGTAACTCTTACTATCCACATGGTTGTCCAGTATCGACAGTTTCCAAACCTCTATTGTGTCTTGTTCAGGACCTTGACCTTGACTTACTTTTAAAGTTTGGAGTCAAGCTTAGTAGAGGAGGTTCTCTAAAGTCATTAGGATATTTTACAAGTTTTCATTTCAAGCAGGTAAGAAATAGTGGGAATACTTCTAAGATGGACCTAGATATACATAATACATATTTAGCTTCTTAAATTTAGAGTTTCAAACTCAGAAAAGCTTCAACACAGTACAAAGAATTCTCAAAACCCTTTCCTGAATTTCACCAACGCATAAAAGTTAGGCATATTTGCTTTCTCTTCCTACATAATACAGACTACTGTATTATCTTTCTGAACTATTTGAGAGTATGGTGCAGACATGCCCTTTACTCTTAGATGATGTAGAGTTTAAGAGAACAAGGAGGTTCACTTCCTCACTACAGTGTAGTTGGCAAAATCAGAAAGTTTAACAATGATACAATACAGTTTTCTATTTAGAGACTTACAGATTTTGCTAGTTGTCTTGTTAATATTGTTTATAGCAATTTTTCCTGTTCTGGTCTAAGATGGTCTAGATACCTGGCATGTAGTTTTAATGTCTCTTAAGTCTTTATTTAAAGTTCCTCAGCCTTCCTTTGGCTTTGATAACTTTGACGTTTTTGAAGAGTACAGCCCTGTTTTGCACAGTTACCCAATTAGTTTTAGTTTCCCTCGTAATTAGACTCAGGCCCTGTATTCTTGACCGGGGTATCACAGAAGTGATCTTGCTATTCTCAGTGTACCATGTTAGGAGGTGTCTGATAGGTTAAGTTATTTAGTTTATGAGTTGTTTGCCAGGTTTCTTCACTCTGAAGTGATTACTCCTCCCTTTGTAATTTTTAACTACTAGGTGGGAAAATACTTTGAGACTGTAACTTGTTGTATGCTTTCACTGGGTAGTCTTAGCATCTGTTGGTCATTCTTGCCTGAGAAATGATTACTATGATGCAAAATGGTGATTTACTAATTCTATCATTTCTTCTACATTTTTTAGTATTGTATTCTAATATATCATGCTGGCAAGCCTTTTAGAGATGAGTGCCCAAACTGCAACCCCAAACCCACTTATTTATCACAGAGTGCCAACTCTGCAGTTAAACCTGAATAGTGAAGTTTTTGCTTAGAAAAAGCAACTTACACATTAATATCTTTTGTCTTGTAAGAAAAACAACATGTGTGCCATAGGTTCGCCACCACTGTACTATATGGAAGAACATCCCCTTCTTGTTTATTTACGTATTTATGGACTCAGGTATCCATATTTAACAGGTTATCATCTCGTACTACCTTTATTTACTTTAATGCTCAGGTTGTCTCATATTTGAGAAGTGGAAACTTACTGGCCATTGTTTATGGATATATTTATGATATAAAATCAAAATGGCTTATCTCAAACCCCTACTTTTGAAATTTAAACAATTTTTTCTGTAGCTAGCTGGTTTTATTTAGGAAGAAGATACATTTTAAAAAATCAAATACAGTCTTTTACTAATAAAGTTAGGAACTCACTTTACAAGAAAGGTTACCTTCAACTGTTACCACAACATTGTGAATATATGCTGGACATGGTGGTGCCCACCTGTAATCCCAGCGCTCAGTAGGTTGAGGCTGGAGGATCTCAGGGAGTTCAAGGCCAACCTGGGCCAGGTAGTGGATTCAGGACCAGGCTGAACTACATAGTGAGACCCTGTCTCACATTTTTAAAAAAATGTGACTATAGTTAACACTACTAAACTTTACACTTAAAAATGATTAAGATGGTAAATTTCGTAGCTTTTTAAAACCATAATTTAAAAAAAAATTAACCATAGGCTGTTAGAATGTTAGTACTGTAACTAAATTCAGTTTCCAGTTTGGACTGATTTGTGCTACTGAGCATTGTCCTTCATCTTTGAAAGTGGTCCTCAACGTTGTCTGTTAACAAATTGTTTTTTTTTCTTCTTCTTCTTCTTCTGTCTACACTACAGAGCCACAGAGCACATTAAGAGTAATACAGGAGGGTAGGTGTTCACAGTTAGTTAGCATCCAGGCGGAGTACTAGTTCAATTGGAATTATTTTATTAATGTGTTTTTAAAAAATGATTTGTTGACTGATAAGATGCCAAAAGCATTTTATGTTGAGAGAAAGCAGCAGCTTTCAGGGTTGTTGATACTGTGTCCCTTGGCAGATAGGACTGTCTATCACGTTTGAGAAGCTGCGAAATTGATATGAAGGAACAAGTCATTTTTCAGAGTCCACTGCGCAGCACTGATAAATGAGATTGAACTCTAAATCACATGCAAATTTTAATTTCTTGTGCGAAAAGGAAGCTAGTTTTGGTGTGGTTCTAAAAGAAAATTTATTGTACAGTGAATTCAGTAAAATTGTTCTTCCTGCCAATTTGTCCTGAGAATCTTGTCTGTTAAAATGAAATAAATTGACTGTGTTTTTAATATTATAATCAATGTCGTATGACATTTCTGGTCATGATGAAAAGCTGCTATATTTCATTACTGAAGAGGTTAAAGTAGTTTAAGTACAGAAACATTTAAATACAAATTAAGTACAGAAATACATTTATTATTATAAAACGTATGTTAAAATAGAGATGGGTAACCTTATTTATCCTTTCGAGTAGGACTCATGAAAGTTGTATAAATTATTCTTGCTGTTTTATTTTGGGGAGTTAAGAAATAAGAAAACCTTGCCATCTCCAGTTCCCTCTCCTTGCATCCTGTGAGTTTCCAAAGATGCCTGGGTTTAAATTATCCCTGCTATTGCAGGTTATGAGTAGCTTTTCAGGGGTATAAAGCAGGACATCAGAGCCCAGCTGTTTTTCTTTGGTAGTCTGTGGTCGTTCCCTGCATGAGCGGGCCATTACAGTCCCAGGAGGAACCCTGAGAAATTGAACAGCAAAAGCTGTGTCAAGACTAGTTGAGGTTGAATAAGTGGAGCAAGTGGGTTTGTTGGACTTACACCGTACAAGATGGTTGGTTACTCTGAAGAAATGGATTCAGAAATGGTGGTGGTGGTGGAAGTGAAAGCCCGTTTGCTCTGATGTGAGTAAAGGAGAGAAAGGAAGGTGAGGCAGTGTAATTGGTTTCTATTCTTTTTAAAGTTTGGTGCTGAAAGGATGCAGAAAGGATAACTTTTTTTTTTTTTTTGGTGGTATTGGTCATTGAACCCACGAGTTCACTCTGAGGTACATGCCCGGCCCCTTTTAATTTTACTATTTTTTTTTTAAAATTTTGGGACAGAGTTTCTCTGAGTTGCCCAGGCTGGGCTTGATCTTGAGATCCTCCTGCCTCAGCCTTTCAGAGTACTGGGATTACAGGCAAGTAATACTGTGCAGTGCTGCATGATAACCTCTTTAAACACTCCCCTCAAGAAGTGTGCTGTCTCAACTTTATAAAAGGTATGTGGCTAGTGTGCAAAAGAAAAGTGTTCACATTTTACTGTTTGGAACCAAGTCTAGTCAGTAGTCTAGATACATTCTCCAAAAGGATAATGGGTGTTTATTTTGGTGATTTAACAAATTTATGTACAGCTTAGGCACCTATCCTTATATGTGCTTAGATGATGAAGTTAGCAATGATAGAGGCACAGGTGCTTTTCAGTTTTTTATTACTTTGAGAAAACTTTTTATTTAGTAATTAGGCATTCAGCAAAGGCCAGCTGAGTGCCAGGCACAAAGTGGGTATTGAGTTTGCAGCAGAAAGAAGACAGATCTCATTCCTGACCTGACATGTGGTGCAAATAGACTGGAGAAGACAGACGTTGAACACACAATTTGAGGTGATCAGTGTGGTAGGAAGGGTGAATAGGGAGAGCGTTAATCTTGCTC